CGAGCCATGCCTCGCGCGTGCCTTGCGAGGGCGGCCCGCGCGAGTTGATGCCAAAAGCCGACAGTGGAAGCTGCGTCGTTAACCGGCCCCATCGATGGGCCCCTGGTCGGTTGTCCTATGCGTCAGCGCGCGGTCCCAGCGCAGCCAGCGACGGGCGCTCAGTCGAGCGATAAGCCATGACGTTGTTTCATGAGGTCCGCGGCGTCCTGCCAGAGCTTTCACCCATGGTTACCTTTGCGTTGATCGAGTTGCTGCGGCGCCAGGACATAACGCATCTCAGAGATCTGCAGCTAGCGCGCGTCGATTGGTTCGAACCGGTGTCTGCCGCAGAAGGGGAACGAGGCGTCAGCCCTGACGCCCTGCGCGTAGCGCTGTCAGAGTTAATTAACGAAGCGAAGAAGCCATCTGCCGTCGTGCGCGGCGCAAAGGACGAACCTCCGCCTGCACCCGACGTGCATCAGCGCGAGTGCCGCAGCCGCAGTCGCCCTGCCAGGCGGCGAGCTGCCAAGTGCGATGAGCTTTCGGCGGCTTGCGGTGCTGTGCGGGACCTTGAGCTGGCCGTCAGCATAGCGCGCCAGTGCACCATCGAGCCGCGCGCGGGCCCCCGCCGTGAAGTCGAGGCCCTGCGGCAGGGCCTCGCCCAGCGAAGCTTCAGCGAATGGTCGAATTCGGCTCGGGTCGCCGCGATTCTGGGCAGCTGCCCGAAAACGTGGCCCAGCGTAGTCAGCGCCTTCCGCTGCTGGGCGACTTTCGCCATGACCGTGCTCGGCTGCGACGCGGGGGAAGTGATTCCGCCGTCGCCCGAGGGCCTTGCATTGTGGAGCACATGCTTCCGTTGTAAAGGAACATTCGACAACTATATTTCGCACGTCAGATTAGTCTGCATCCTGTTGCGCGTCCCGCTGGACGCGCTGAGCGACCCGGCAGTCGAGCGCGCGGCTCGCGCGGTGCAAGCGCGAAACACTTGGCAGGCCAGGCCCAAGATGTTTATTCGGGAGGCGCTCCTCGCCAGATTACTGAAGCATCTCGAACGCCACCAATCGGGGCGCGAGCTGCAGATGCTTTTCTTGACGGCGTACATATTCCTGTTGCGATTGCCGTCGGAAGCACTGCCGATGCACGTCGCTCGGGACGGCGATCCGCCGCGGGCGGTCGAGCCGAAGAGCTGCCTACGCCTGCATGACGGCTCGATCTCGCTGACGTTGCTTTGGCGCAAGAATCGCGCCACGCCGCTCACGATGACGCGCACGTGCTGGTGCGCGCGCTGTCCATCAACGTGCCCCGTGCACGCGCTGGGGAAATTCTGCGCCGACAGCGCGGCCCAGCAGCCTTTTGCGGGTTTCCGCCCGGACGCTGTCCTATCGGCGTTGAGAGCGGCCCTGCAAGAGCTCGGGGTGCCGCGGCACGATGCCTATCGCACCCGCGATTTTCGTCGGGGCCACGCCCAAGACATGGCGGTGCGTGGCTCGCGGCTGGCCGACATCCTTCGCGCCGGAGATTGGCGGTCCGCCGCCTTCCTGTCATATTTAGACAGGGATGCGCTTGAGGACAGCGCCGTCAGGGAAGCGCACGGCGGCGCTTCGTCCAGCGACGAAGACAAGGACTGAGGTGGCTGTGAGCCTATAGAACACCTTCGGCGAGAACAGCGTTGGGTTTTCCTCGCGCGCAGGTGCAGCAAGGGCCTTGGGTGTCGCTGCACCCGCGCGCTCCCGCGGGGAGCGGCGAGCGACGAGTGCGCCGCTCGCCCCCCCCCGCGGGCGCGTGCCTACCCAACGCGCAGCGCTCCCCGCGCTCTCCCCCAACCCTCGGGTTTTCCAGGGTAGCGTCTTTTGTGGGCGAGAACACAACGCAGTTTTGTTCGTTGTCACAAAAACGCGGACCTGGGAACCTTCTACCCCTGCCGCCCCGCCGCTGGCGCCGCGGTTCGCCGCGGTGCCTGTGGTGGGGCGGGTTGGGTCGGTTGGGGGGTGCGTTTGGGGTGGCTCGCCTCAGGTCTTCATGGACTTCGTGTTCCTCGTCTTGTTCGTGTTCTTTGTCCACGTCTCCCTGCGGTGGGGGGAGGGTAAATATACCCCCGCGTCGCGCGCGCTGCCCCGAGGGCGCTTGTCGGCCGAACGCGAGGCTGGCGCCCTCGGTGCGCGCGTCGCGGGCCGCCGTGGCGGCTTTTGTTTCCCCTCACCCTTCGCCGCTCCTTTGGTTGGGGTGGGGCGCGGGGTGTCGCTGCACCCGCGCGCTCCCGCGGGGAGCGGCGAGCGACGAGTGCGCCGCTCGCCCCCCCCCGCGGGCGCGTGCCTACCCAACGCGCAGCGCTCCCCGCGCTCTCCCCCAACCCTCGGGTTTTCCAGGGTAGCGTCTTTTGTGAGTATTTTTGGAATGTATTTTGATTTTTCGTGGAAAATCCCCCTGTAGGGGGACAGGCCCGACTTAACCCTTCCGTTACCCCACCCCACCCGCTCGCTCGCGCGGCGGCCCTGCTCCATCAGTGGCCCGGCCGCCCGACCGGGACCCGCCCAGCAGGGTCCGCCCGGCCGCCCCGCCCGCGGGGGGATGGGGTGATTCAGCGGGGAGGGGGGGGGCATGGTGGGAGGAGTAGAAGGAGTAGGGAGGAGGACGGTGGAGGAGGAGGAGGAGGAGGAGGAGGAGGAGAAAGAGGAGTAGGGAGGAGGAGGGAGGAGGAGGGAGGAGGAGGAGGAGGAAGAAGAGGAGAAGAGAAGGAGAAGGAGGAGTAGGGAGGAGTAGGGAAGAGGAGGAGGAGGATTACGAATCATAGTATAAACAAGAGCCATCACGGGTCCAGGGGTCACGGAGTACGTGAGGGGTGTGCCGAAGTCAGGATTCATTCAGCCGTCTCGAGGGCCAGTTGAGGGCCTCGTGGGAGTGCATGGGCCACGAAGTGCGCGAAGGTTCCGAGAGGGGTTGCCCTTGAGACATCTTGAGGGGCCAGCTGAGAGCCCCTGGGTCTCCATTGGGCAGGACGTGCGCGATGGATGTTCCGAGATGAGGATCCGTTCAGCCGTCTTGAAAGCCAGCTCGTGGCTTGTGGAGGTTCAGGAAGGCAGTCGCGCGTCGTGAGCTGTGTGCGCGTGTGTGTGTGTGTGTGTGTGTGTGTGTGCGCGCGTGTGCGCGTGTGCCGAACTCAGGCCCCATTAAGCCATCTTGAACGGCCAGCAGAGGGACTAACTTATGGGCGCACGAGGCACAGAGTGTGTGGAGGGTGCGCCAGAATGCGGATCTCTCTTCAGCCGTCTTGAGGCTCAACTGCTGGACTCTGGAGTAGAAGTCCTGAGGCACGACGTGCGTGACTCTGGACTCTGGGGACCATGCGTGAGTAAAAGCCCTGGTGGACTCTGGGGTCCATGAGGCACGACGTGCGTGATGGGTTTGCTTAGAGGAGGAACTATGCAGCCATCTTGAGGGCCAGCTGAGGGCCTCTGGGAATCCATGGGCCACGGAGTGCGCGAGGCATGCGTGCCGAATTGGGACTTCCCTTGAGTCATTTGGAAGCTTGCGGAGACCCCCCTGGGGGTCCATGGAACACGACGTGCGTGAGGCGCGTTCCGAAGTGCGGATCCATTCGGCTGTCTTGAGGACCAGTTGGGGGCCTCCAAGGGCCACGGGGTGCATGAGGGGTGTGCCGAAATCAGGCCCCGTTGAGCCGTCTTGAGAAGCTAACTCGGGGCCTCCAGGGGGTCCATGGGGCACAATGTGCGTGAGGGGTGTTGGATCTTCTTTTCGCTTTCACATGTTTTCGTCGCCTCTCTCCGGGCTGCTCTCTGCTCTTCCTCGTTGCCCCCTTGCTGCCTGCTTCCCGTTCCCTGCCCTTGCTGCTGCTTTCCACGCGTGGCGCTATGTGTAGCACGTCTCGGTTTCAATGCGAGCTGGTCTGGGCAAGGGGCCCCAGCCCCATTTGAAAAACATTTGTAGGATCGTGTGCAGGAGAGCGTTGGCGTGGGGGGAGAAACAAAAACTGTCACCTGTGTTCGGCGACATTTGACTTGCGGAGCCAGGTGGTGGCCAGGTGGGGGTCGGGGCCGGTTCCAGGCCAAGAATGGCCGGCTGGATGGGGCTCAAGAACTGAGGTCCAGAGGGTCAGAGGGTGGGGGGGTCCTAAGAACAGACGTCCCAGAGGGTGAGTATGCCAGGTTGCGGTGGGCGCCCAGGTGAAGTGAGAGCCGGGGTCGTTTTTGGGCGAGGCATCGACGGGTGGGGGGAGCCATGAACACAAGTGCCAGCAGGTGTCAGCGTCGGGGCCAGGTGGAGGCGAGGTTGGGGGGTCGGAGGTGTTTCAGGGCAAGGACTTGTCGGGTGGTGTCAGCGGAGCAAAACTCGGCACCGCGGGATCTCCCACACGCTTCTAGGGTAGGCGAAGTTGTGCACACGGTGTTCGGTTCCACGCGGGTTGCGTGGATCGGCACTAGACCCCCCAGTGGCGATTCTGGCGCCGCCAGGGAGGGGGATCCAGCGCCAAGCCGAGGAATCAGCGCTGCAGGTTTCTGGAAGTTGTTGCCTATGAAACTTTTTAGGTACTATTCTGAAGAACGCTCTTCTTTTACGAGAAGTGGGCCTTGGAAACACTCACGGCTTCGGTGAAGTCGTCTCAGGAGGTTCTACCTTCGAAGAGCCCCCCGCTATGTCAGAAGCCGCCCCTCCCCCTCGCGCGACCCCTTCTGTGCGCAACGCTGAGCCAAGCAGAGCGGTAACTGATCTGGACTATTTGGCTCGACGTCGTGCTTCGGCAAGATCGACGAAGACGGATGATGGCAACGAGGCAGAGGGGAGGATGGGCCAGAGTGTGGTACGCATGGGCAGGAGCGAGGAAGGGAAGTTTGGGATGGCGTGGGCTGGGCTGGTGTAGGGGGAGGAGGAGGAGGAGGAGGAGGAGGAGGAGGAGGAGCAGGAGCAGGAGCAGGAGCAGGAGAAGGTACAGGAGGTACAGAAGGTACAGGAGCAGGCGCAGGAGCAGGAGCAGGAGGATGAGAAGAGGGGCGTCGCGGGAAAAGGATCTGATCGACGCCATTAACAAGGTGGTGAAGGGATACTCGAAGTTCTCGGCGACCCCGAAGTACATGGTCTACAACTGAGCTGGGCGTTGCGCCTCACGGGCACACCTGCCGTTGGCGCGCATGTCTGGGATGCGAGTCCCCGTCGCCCCCCCCCCCCCTGCAGGTCCCCTTCCCCGCCGCTGCAGCTCCTCCCCCGCTCCCCCCAACCGCCTCCCGCTTCCCTAAATCCATCCTCCGTCTCCTCTTCCTCCCGTGTCCTCATCGCCCCATCCTCGTCCTTCCCTCCCTCCTTCCCTCCCTCCTTCCCTCCCTCACCTTTTCCTCCTCCTCCTTCCCTCCCTCCCCGTTTCCTCTCCGTAGCCATTTTGGCTCAAGATGTCCGACTGGGGGGCTGCAAGCCTCCAGGCGGAAGGGATACCGCTAGTCCGCGGCCAGCCTCCAGTTTTCCTGTGAGCTCCTGGGGGAGCGCCATCCGCTTAATCTATCTGATTGCCGCGGCGGTGCTTGTGAGCTGTGCAGAATGGCGGCCAGGCGTGCCCCTTGGGCGGCGGGCAGCAATGGCGGGAGCAGGCCAACACAGGGCGGTCCAGTCGGCAGCGGCTACTTGCGCGACAAGCCCGACTGGTTCTGCTGCAAGGATGGCTGCAAGAATGCGAAGGGTGAGCGCTGGTGGAACCCTGGCTCATCCTTATGGTGTACAAAATGCAAGCTGCACAAGGGCGCCTGTTTCGGCAGCAACCGCCCAGCAGGTGGAGGCACCCCCTCGACGCGCGCACCGAGCGTGGCCGACAGTCGAGCAGAGGCGAAGTACAAGAAGCTCTACGAGGACAAGATCGCGGCGCTGGAGCAGGAGCTGCGCAGCAAATCCTCGCAGGATGGCGACATGGAGACCGACGGCTCAGCAGCCGAGGCCCCGGCTGCAGGTGTTGCCGCGCTGCGGAAGCGTGCTGACAAGCTGGCGGCGGAGATCAAACTGCTCAAGGGCCGTGACGACGTGGGTGGCATTTACAAGAGTGTCATCGATTCCTTCCAGACGGAGCTGGACGAGCTGCGGAAGAAGCTGCATGACGCCAAGCCCGCGGACGCCAAGCTCCAGATCGCCCGTCGGGAAGTCAAGAAGAAGGAGGCCGCCCTGGCCAAGGCGGGCGACAAGCTGGCGCAGCAGGAGGAGGCAGTCGCAGCAGCGCAGCTGCGCCTGCAGGAGCTCAAGTCACAGCGGGAGCAGTGCGAGGCCGAGCTCGGCCGTGCCAAGGCCGTGGTGCACGGGCTGGTGGCTGCTGATGCTGCTCAGGTTGGCCCAGCTGCTGACGGAGGCAGCGAGACGGGGGCGGTCGCCCACACGTTCGGCATCAACAAGGCCGCGCTGGTGGCCAAGTGCGGGGAGCGCGGCTTCGGCGACCACGCAGAGGCACTGTCCAAGCTCCTGGAGGAGTTGCTGCCGCAGCTGGTGGTGCCAGCGGAGCGCCAAGCTTCCCCCCCTGCAGGAGCGGCGAGCGCAGCTGCCGCGCAAGCCGTGCCCAGCACCGAGGACCCCATCGGCAAGGCCTCCGAGGAGGCGCTGCGCGCCGAGCTCAACGTGCTGTGGCCCGCCGACACCGCGCCCGACATGCCGACGGACCTGGAGGAGCTGCGCGCTGTCGCTGCTCGCCTTGCCGCTAGCCCGCCCATCGGGGCTGCAGCGCGTTTGCGAGCTGGACCGTACTAACCTTGTCCTCATGGCGAGCATGGGCATGAGCAACAGCACCGTCGCCGCGGCCGACCTGGTACAGGAGGTCGCGTGGGAGGCGGAGGACGCAGCGGCCCGTCACCTCCTCGGCGAGGCAGAAGTTGCGGCAGGCAGCCGCGGCGCGGCAGCCATCATCGAGCGGGGGCTCAAGTCCCATAGCAGGGACTCTGGGCCCCCCCTCCCTCTCCAGGTCGACTGCGCCTGGGCCGCCGAGGTCCCGCGGCTGCGTGAGGAGGAGGCGGCGCAGGCAGTGCAGGATGAAGCTGCGCCACACGCTCTTCGTGCGCCACCTGTCGTCGCTGCAGCTGCGAACGAAGCCCGAGGTGCAGAGCCAGAGCCACACGGATCGGTTGCTGACGGAGCTCCTGGCCAAGGGAGTCCACTGTTTGGGGTCCAGGCGGGGATTGGCTATAACGACGGGGCTACGGCCCTGCATGCCACCCCAGCCCCAGCGCGTGAGGAGACCCGGGCTTCACCGCACTTCGAGACCAAGGGCGACCACAGGGCGCACGCAGGCCTGGCCTTCGTCAAGGGCCAAGTCAAGGAGCCCCACATGGCACAGCTGAACGCACAGGTATCGCAGCTCGTGGACCTGGTGCTTGAGCTCATAGGCGAGATCGTGCTCTGTTTCAAGCGGGTCGGCATCCTAGCGGTGAAGGACCACGGGCCAGACCAGCACCACATCAAGGACGCCAACTACAGCAACGCGTTCCTGGAGATGGGGCAGGACGGGCTGATGGACATGCAGGTCGCGTCGAAGGAGGAGCTCCGCAGGGTGCGAGCACTCACGGCCACCTTCCCGATTCTCCCAGCCACACTGGAGCGGCGGAGGGTGATGCCCGAGGTTGCCACGGTGCAGCAGGTAGCAGAGCCCGCAGCAGAGGGTACCGACCCTTCGGGGCACGCACTGCTCACTGCGGGCCGAGCATCCTGGACGGCAGAGGGCACCGACCCTGCGGGGCACGCACTGCGCACCGTCCGAGCTGCACGAAGGAGGGCGGTCAAGCCGAAGCAACCGAAGAGCGAGCACACGCTAGCCATCACGGCGAACGGCACCACATGGTCGAGCCTCACCGACCTGCTGCTGGATGAGGTGGGCCGCCGAGCAGATATCTTCCTGGGCCAGGAGACCCACTTGTGCGGCACCGTGGCGTGCGCGACGCAGGAGGACTGGGCGAAGAGGGCCAAGTGGAACTTGCAGCTGGACCCAGCAGTGCCCACAGGTCGTGGGGGCACCAGCGGCGGCTTGTGCATCGCCACGCAGCCATGGCGAGGTTTGGCGAGCTACCCATGCGTGAGCACGAGGTTCGGCATCGCACGTGGCCGAGTACAGCTGAGATGTTGGAAAGGATGGCTTCCAGGAGGCGTGGTGGTGGCCAACGTCTACCTGCACCACAGCGAGGGCATGACAGCCAGGAATAGGCTCCTGGTCAACCTCCTCGCACGAGAGCTGAAGCGGCTAGCTCGGCCCTTCATCATTGGAGGCGACTTCAACATGCACCCCACCGAGCCAGCCAAGTCAGGAATTTTCGAGAAGCTGAGGGCCGAGCCGATCTTCACCCAGGAGGCAACGCTGGGCGACCTGGCGGAGGGCTCCGTGCTGGACTACTGGGTCCTGCCGAAGGCGCTCGTGCAGAGGGTCGAGTCCTGCTTCGTTATCCACACCACCACCATCAAGGATCACCGCCCAGTTGGACTCAGGCTGAAGAACGGTGTGGTGGAGGACCTGATCACGGTTCACAAGGCCCCCGCCAGCTTCCCAGCTACGCGGCCCATAGGGCCTGGGCGGGAGGTGGCGACATCCTGGGGAGAGGCCATGACGGCCCTGGGGGAGACGGAGGGCTGTCAGGAGGCCTTGGCGAACGGTTTCGCGGCCTTCATGCAGGGGGCTGAGGAGGAGCTGGGCAGCTTGTTCCATATCCCGAAGGGCGACATGCCGAAGTACACAGGGCGAGGGCTGGAGCCGCGCTTCGTCAAGATTCACCCCGCGAGGCGGAACAACGCGGCGGTGGCCAAGGCATCCCCAGAGGCACGTCAGGCTCTCTGGCTGCATGACCGTCTACGCGAGCTCCAGCGGGCTTACGAGAGAGACGAGCTGAGGCACCGCCAGGCAGCGCAGCGTCTCTTCGACACTCTGGAGCACTGGAATGGCTCCCTCATGAAGACCCAAGATTGGCACCACTTCGGGGCGAACTGGCAGCGGCTGCGCGAGCTCACGATCGACGATCTGGCCAAGCTGGCGGACCAGGCCCAGACTGTGAGCGTGCGCCTCTCCAAAGAGTTCGAGAAGGCACGTTGCCGATCATTTGACACCTGGGCGAAGAAGGCCACGTTGAACGGCGCAGGCCTCGCCCACAAGTGGACACGTGGGCCCACAGGTGCGGGGTCAGGGCTGTTGGCCAACGGCGTGGCAGCAGACGTGCAGGATGCTGCCGACAAGTTCTGCGCTGACTGGCTCAAGCAGGTCTGGAATGTCCATGAGCCCATGAAAGCCACCAGCTGGGACGAGATCAAGCACCGCGTGCTGGACGCGCCCACGGCTGGGGCTATCAGGACAGCGAGCGGGAGGTTCAAGCATCGAACGGCCCTGGGCTCCGACGCGTTCCACCCACGGTGGTTCGCGATGCTGTCCGACGAGGCTCTGACCTTCCTGGGTAAGCTCATGGTTTACATGGAGAGGGTCGGCAACCAGCCGAAGCAGCTGACCACCATCATAGTCTTCCTCGCCAAGAAGGAGGGCGGGGTGAGGCCCATCGCTCTACTAGGAGGATTTCTTCGTGTCTGGACAAAGGTACGTCGGGCACAAATGCAGCAGTGGGAGGACGAGCATGACCTGCCATGTTTTCACAACGCAAGCGGCAGGACGGCCGAGCGGGCCGTCTGGGACCAGGCCGTCTACCAAGAGTGGGCCCTCAAGGTCGGCATGGTCACGGCCTCCAACCAGCTCGACATGACCAAGGCCTACGAGAGGGTGGGCCACCAGACGCTCTGGGACGAAGGCTGCGCCAGCGGCGCCAACCTGGTGCTGTTGCGCACCAGCATCAGCATATATGCGGGCCCACGGCGATGCAAGGTCGACGACGCGGTCTCGGGCGAGGTTGAGTTGGGCTGCAGCATCTTGGCGGGATGCGGGTTCGCGACGTCATGGCTGAAGGTCCTCATGTACCGCAGCCTGAGGTTGTTCGGAGACAGGTATCAGTGCATCCAGCTGTTCGCCTTCGTCGACGACATCACCATCCTCTGCATCGGGTCACAGCGGTTCCTACTCAAGGTAGCAGCGGACGGCCTGCAGTATCTCATCGAGCTCCTCCGCAAGCTGGGCTTCGAGATCAACGGCTCGAAGTCCACGATCGTGATCTCCACGGCGTACGCGGGCAAGTGGAACGCCGACAAGGTGCACGCGCACACGGCGCAGCGGCTCCAGGTCAGGCAGCACCACCGCAACCTTGGCGTGGACTCGGTGGTGGGGGCGAGAAGGCGCACCAAGGTCATGAACGCAAACTTCGACAAGCAGAGGCGCCGCCTCGGTCGAGTCACGCGCCTCAGACGCCAGGGCGCTAAGTCGGGCAAGGTGGGCAGGATGGGCATGCAGCCTGCAATGACGCACGGTGCCAGCGTGCTCGGCAGGAGCGACTCGCAGCTGCACATGATCAGGGCGGCGGTCGGAGCGGCGATGTTCACCGACACGGCAAGGCGCTCGCTCACGCTGTCTTTCATGCTGGAGGGAGGCAGGCAGGACCCAGCCTACGCCGTCAACGCGGCGCCGCTGGTCGAATGGGCCAAGGCGGTCTGGACTAAGCGCATCCCCACCCACATACTGCAGGGAGCACTTGACCGAGCAGAGGCGACTCAGCGGAACAAGTTGCACCCATGGGCCGCCGTGGTCGGGCCAGCGGGGGCGATGCTGGCCACGGCAAGGAGGATAGGCTGGCGAGTGCTCTCGGCCAGCAGGTGGACCTCTCACGACGGCGAGGAGCTGGAGTTGGGAGAATGTGTGGGGCCACGGGCGATCAAAGGTTTGCTGGACAGAGCCATCGAGCGGTGGCAGTACACTCAGATAAGTATGCATGAAGGGCTGGAGCACCTCAAGGATGGCATTCACCTGGAGCCAGTGCGCAGGGTCATCCGCAACCTCGAGAAGCACGGCCTGCAGCAGGAGGCGCGCGGCCTGCGCTCCACCGTCATCGGAGCACAGTGGCCCCAGCAGCAGCTGCAGGCCGCGGGTCTTGCTGACTCCCCGCTGTGCCAGCGCTGCGGGGAGGCCCCTGGCACGCTCTCGCACCGCCACGGTGCGTGCGTGGCGTGGACGCGGGAGCGCAGGGAGAGCGAGATCGGCCAGGTCTACTTCCCCGAGGGCATGCTCACCGCGATGCAGGAGGCGTTCTGGGGCAGGTGCCTGCTGCCCAACTGGATCGCGGGGCCGAGGCCGTCGAGAGCGTGGCACACGGTATGGAGCGTGGAGGTCCCAGGAGGTCTCTTCATGGACGACGGCTTCGTGGACGGATCAGGGCGTAGCCCCGCAGGCCCTGATGGCATGCGGGTGGGCTTCGGCTGCGCATCGGTGGACCACCTCGGGCGAGTCACGGGAGCCTGCCACGGGCAATCTCCTGGCTGGCTACAGGAAGTGGGAGAGGGCGAGCTCTTCGCAGTGGAGGTCATGCTGCGGCACGCCGTGCCCCCGTTCACCATCTACAGCGACTACCAGGACCTGCTCGACGGCATCGCCGCGGGGCCTGCCATATGCTGCGCGCCTGGCAAGGCCTACGCCGAGCAGTGGAGGAGGATCTGGCGTCTGATCATGGACATCGGGCAGGACCAGCTCCAGTTCCGCAAGGTCAAGGCCCACCAGGTCATCACCCAGCTCGCGTACGGCTCGGTGGAGCGGCGGCTCGCCCTTGGCAATCACGCCGCCGACACCGAGGCCAAGCTGGGAGCGGCCTGCCACCCCTGCAGCTCGCAGGCCGAGGAGGAGCGCTTCGCCTCCCAGCAAGGGGCGGTGGGCCGCATGGCTGGCTGGGTGGCCCAGGTGTGCGTGCTTGCCAACGGGAGCCAGAGGGACACCACGGGCAAGCAGGTGCTGACGAGGGCCCCGAGGCACGAGGAGCAGCACGGCATGGTGCGCGCCGCCAAGCGCCGCCGTACCCAGCCGCGCGGGCAGCCAGTGCCCGCGCCCGTCAGAAGAGTCGACACGAGGCTGAGCATGGAGCACGACGACCAGGACGGCGACAGCAGCGGAGGCGAGCCGCCTCCGCGCGGGGCCACGGTGCCGTCGACGGCGGCGCTCGCGGCGGAAGCTGGGAGCGCAGGCCTGGCGGGGGGCTCCGACGGCGTGACCGACGGCAAGGACCTGGCCCAGCGTGACAGCGCTGGCAGCAGGGGCGAGGCCGACCCCGCCGCGCCCCGCGGGACCCAGCTGGGGGCGGCTAGTCAGGCCAGCGGCGGTGGCCCCGACGGCCTGGCGGGCGGCTGGGCAGCGCGGGCCACCCCGCGGAGCGGCCAGGGCGGCAGCAGCCAGGCCTGCCACGGCGACGAGGACAGCGACGACGCGCCGCTGGTGCAGCCGCGCAGGCAGGCGGCACCACGACGACGGCAGCTCTACACGGCGAAGGGCTCGCTGGCTCGAGGAGGTGACAAGCGGCCTCGCGAGGCTGAAGTTCGGCAAGCAGCGCTGGAGGCGAGCAGCAGCCAGGCCGATGGCAGGACTGCCAGCCTGGACGGCATCGGCCGCCGCGTGGCGGCACGGCTCCAGCGTGAGCGGGGGCCTCAGCTCTTCATGCCCGACGACGAGGGCAGCGTGGTGGGCCTGCCGCTGCGGCACCGTGCGCAGTGGGTCGGCGGCGACAGCGCGCTGCCCTACGCATGCGACCGCTGCGGGTCCGCTGCAGGGACCGAGCCCAGCTGGAGGCGGGGCTGTGCCGCGGGACGCCTGCTGCCGTGCTGGCGGCCGACGCGTCGCACCAGCTGATGACCATGGGAGACGTGGTGTTCTGCAGCGCATGCGGTGCAAGGGCAAGCGGAGGTGCGGCTGTCCTGCTGGCGGCGAAGTGCTTTGGCAAGATCGCCAACGCCACGGCGGGCACGAGGCTCAACAGGATGAAGGCGGGGAAGCACCCGATCAAGGGCCACTACATCGGCGAGCCCGTCCAGCTGGAGGCGCGCCTCACGGAGACCCCAGCGGACGAGGCGCCGACATCGGCATGAAGTTCGTGGGCGGCTCGCCGCCCAGCCTGGGCTCTGCTGCGGCCGCTCGGCCTGCTGGGCGGCAGAGGGAGGGCGCTGGGCGGCGAGAGGCCCCTGGCGTGGCGCGGAGGCGGCCTGCGCCGCGACGCGCCTGCGCCGAGGTGGGCTGGCGGCTGAGGCCGTAGGCCCGTGCCCGCCCGCGCGGCGGCGGCGGTCGGCGCCGTGTCGCGAGGGCGTGCCGCGCCCGCGGCGGCGAGGCGGGGGGCCGCCGAGCCGCTCGGGCGCTCGGGCGGCGCGCCGAGACAGACGGCCCGCCGCGCAAGTGGGTGCGGCTCCCCGTTTCCTCCTTCCCTCCCTCTCTCGTCCTCCTCCTCCTCCTCGTCCTCCTCCTCCTTCCCATTCTCCCATCCTCCCCATCCTCGTCCTCCTCCTTCCCTCCCTCACCTTGTCCTCATTGCCAGTCTCCTCTTCCGCCTCCTCCCGCTTTTTTGTTTGCGTCACCCTGACTCCAGCCCGAAGGCAGCAGCGACTGTGCAACAGCAGAGCCAGCTCAGGCGAAGCAGCCGAGAGCACATAATGGCATCAGCACAGTCATGATGCAGCAGTCGCAGGAAGTCAGGCCCGTCCTCCTGCTTTTCCTGCTCTTCCTCCCCCCATCCGGGGAGGACGGGGACGACGAGTGGGACGAAGGACGGGGATATGATCCCGTCCTTCGTCCCACATGTTCAACAACGTTCCCGGAGTTTTTCAAATTTACCCCCAGAGAATTTTCCAGAGTCGCGCGTGATTTGCCACACCAGGTCTTTGGAAATCCGCCGAGGCGCGCGGTGCTCGGCGGCGGGCGATGGGACGGTGCGCCGCCGTCCCCCCGCGCTCGGCAACGAGAAGGGGGATCAGCAAGTGCCAAATAGCCCCCTACGGGCGACCACTCGATTGCGAATGGGTGACCGACCAGCGGCGCCAACCAGAATAGAAAATACCCGACGCCAAGTGTACCCCGCGCGAAAATTATTAGAATTCCCGGAATCCCCGGAACGTATCAATAGCACGTTGTGTTAATAGAATCTTCTCGTCTTAAATACAAGGCGGAGGAGGAGGAGGACGAGCAGGACGGAGGAAGGAGGAAGCATGTTCTGTGTTTGTTTTAAGATCCGACGCTGCGAGCCCGAGACCCCACCTTCCTGCGTCCCCCCCTCTCGAGGGCCCGAAGCTTGGCGAGCACGTCCGCTATGAGAAGGTGCAGCGCTGGGATCTCAGGGGCCCTCCCTTCCTCCCTCCCTCCCTCCACCCTCCTCCCCCTCCTCCTCCTCCACCTCCTCCTCCTGCTCCTCCTCCTCCTCCTCCTCCTCCTCCCTCCACCCCCTCCCCCGCAGCTCCTCCCCCCCGCCACTGCGCGCCCGCGCCCCGGCCGGGCCGGGGGGGCGCACAAGGCGACGCCGTTGGCGCGCGCGCGGCGGCGATCCGCGGCGGAGTGCGGGCCCCGGCGGCGGCGGAGCGTGCGCCCGGCTGCCGGCCGCGGCGGGAGGGGGACAAGGTCCTCATGCCTCCCCCTCCTCCGCCGCCTCCTCCATCCTTGCTCTCCTCTATCGTTCCTTTCATCCTCCTTCGCCTTGTCCTTCTCCTCCTCCTCCCCCTCCTCCTCCATCCTTCTCCTCCTCCTCCTCCTCCTCCTCCTCTTCCTCCTCCTCCTCCTCCTCCTCCACTTCCTTCTCCTGCTTCTCCTCTGTCCTCCTCCCTTTCCGTCCTCGTTCATCTCCGTGTTCCTCCCGCTTCCGCCCTCCTCCTCTTCTGCCCATTCCTTCCACTCCTCCTCCCCGTTCTCCTCCTCTCCTTCTCCTTCCTCTCCTGATCCTCCTCCTCATCCTTCCTGTTTTCCTTTCGAAAATCCCCTCGCTGTCGCCCCCCACTAGACCGAGGCTGGTCGAAATGGCGGGCCGGGCGTTCCGCTTGAGACGTCCTCACAATTTCTGACCGTGAAGCGTAAACATTGGCAAGAGCTTGAGGCATTGAGGGCGGACGGTTTTCGAAATGCGGCTCTCGCCGTAGCACCGCGCACCATCGTTTCAAAATATTGCAAGAGCTTCACGGATTGAGGGTGGGCGTTCGGCCATCATTGGTTTTAATGAGCAGTTGTTTCAACAATCGGATGATTTATCTGATTCTAGCAGCGCTCGTAACCTTCTGGGGACTCATACGACCAATTTGCACAAGCATGTCCGTGGTAGCCAGTTGCCTTTCAGCAGGATTGGCGACTGGGAGGCCAAGGGCAGCCCTATAAACTCAAGCATGGGCATTGGCCAATTTTGCAAGGGATCGAGATGAAACAGGATTCCAGACAGCACAGTTAAAGAGCATACATCATACTGGTTAAGGCAACCCCCTCAGCACACCTGGTCGCAAGCGAGACCGAGAAGGCCTTACGGGGGCCTAGGGTCCTTCGAGTTGGTCGGATAGCGCCTATATCAGCACCAGTGCGTTTCGCAACTTCATTAGTCATCTTGCCGCTATCAACACAAGGGCACCGAGAGACCGCATGGCCTATTTGATCGAAACCAGAAGCTTGAGGGAAGGGACACTTAGCTGGCTGTTGGCGTGAGCCCAAACAACTCGCCCAACTTGTTTCCTATCGCTTCCCACAGGCCAGTCGCGCCTGTAGCATCAGTCATCTCGGTGCTTGTCCGCGCGACAGCTTGAGGGATAATATGTATCGCTCGTACGGCAGCCTGCTCAAAAAGATCGGCCTGAGCGGCGGTGCCTTATCTGTTCAGGTCGTCCACAAGCCTTGCCAGTAGGGACATACTGAGCCCCCTCCTTGGCGAACCTGGGGGTGGCCCTGAGGAACTCGACTGAAATCTTGCTCAGAAAACTCAACTTGGATTTCCAACACCACATGAGCAAAGGCGATGTAAAAACCGTGGACCTCCTCCTCCTCCTCCTTCCGACCAGTTCTTAATCCTGAGTCGTGTTTTGACAGTCCCGAAACCCGTGGAAGCGCCCCAGGAATCCAACAACGGTGAACATTTGAGTACACGATTCCCTTCGGACCCGCTTCCCCCCATGGCGATCATCCTCCCCCCTCCCCCTCCCTCTCCTCCTCCTCCTCCCCCTCCTCTTCCTCCTTCTTTTCCTCCTCCTCCTGCTCCTCCTCCATTCCTTCTAGATAACTGTTCCCTGTCGCACCCCGAGGCCGGTCGAAAGGGCGGGCCCGGCATTTCGGCAGAGATTTCCTCACCATGTATGGCCCTGATGCTTAAAAAATGGCAACCGTTTCGCGGATGGAGGGTAGGTGATTTTCGAATGTGGTTCCCGCTTGAGCGCCTCCTCCACCAGGTCTCCTCCACCACCAGGTCTCGAGCAGGCCCGGACAGCTGTCCGCAGTGGTGGTTCTCTCTCTCTCTCTCCCGCTTTAGCGCCGCGCATTTTCGTTTTAGAAAGTAGCAACAGTTTCACGGAATGAGGGCGGGTGGTCTTCAAAGTGTCGTTCTCGCAATCGCACCGCGCACACTTGTTTAACACATTTGCAAGTGCTTTCTAGATTGAGGGCGGGTGGTTTTTAACATGTGGTTCTCGCCTTTTTTTTCGCCGCGCGCACTCGTTGCAAATAGTTCCAAGGAGCTTCACGGAGTGAGGGCCGTTCGTTTTCGACCTGTGTTTTTCGCTTTCGCGTCGCGCACATTCGTTTCAATCATTTGCAAGAGTTTCACGGGTTGAGGCCGGTCGTTTTCAAAATATGAGTTTCGCCTCAGCGCCGCGCACATTCGTTTTCAAGCGTTGGCAAGTTTCACGGACTGAGTGCGGATCGTTTTCAATATATGGCTCTCGCGTTAGCGCCGCGCGCATTCGTTTAGACGAATTGAATTGTTTTCTGGGTTCCCGTGGTAAACGTAGCAGACATGGTGTTTTGGAGTTGTTCAGGGTTGTCAGGGCGCGACAGTTACGTTGATTCGCGCACATTCGCTTTAAACACTTGCAATAGTATCATGGATTCAGGGAGGCTCGTTTTCAAAATGTGGTTCTCGCATTAGCGCCGCGCACATTCTTTTCAACCATTCGCAAGGGCTGCTGATTTTCATGGTTGACATACCAGAAAACAAGGTGTGTTGAACCAGTTCAGGAAAGTCAGGGCGCAATCGTTGCGTTGATTCGCTGTGCTGGAGTCCTTGGAATGGTGTTTTGGCACGATTCAGGATCGCCAAGACGTAGATTAAGTCGTGGCGTTGAATCAAGTCCTGATAATTTCATATGGCACGTTACAACGGCTGTCCCCCAACGGGGAAATTCTGTCAGTGGAACCGACCCCTGGTAGGGGCTTGCGACAGGGATCTTTGAGGGAGGGTGTATTTCAACATCTCTGATGAGTCTTGAGTTTGCACTGGTCCTCTTCTTCTTCCTCCTCCTCCTGCTTCTCCTCCTCCTCCTCCTCCTCCTCCTCCTCCTCCTCCTCCTCCTCCTCCCTCCGCCGCGCACCTCCGCGGCGGCGCCCCTGCCGCCGGGGCCGGGAGTGCAGGACCACTGGCCTCCGCATCCCCGACAAGTACTTGAAGGCCACCCCACGGCGTGCCCGGGCACGGCCGGGCTTGGCCGGTCGGGGCCGGGTCCCTCGGGGCGGCCACGTTGCGCGACCCAACTATCCGTGGGTATGCGAGTCATGCGAAAATGGCGACGAGGCTTTTTCGCTATTTCGGCCCCGTGGGGGCCCTTGCGGGGCCTCGGGTGCCGTCAAAAAACGCCTCAGGATGAAAAGCCGGTCCCGGGGAACGGGTCGAGACTTTTGGGGGCCGACGTTAGTTGACAAAGTCATGACGTCGGGGGTCTGGGATCGTTGAAGCCCTGCCGTTTTTCGGGGACTTCGGCCCTCAGGGCTCACTATCGTGCCTCGGGGCCTTGTCCTGGGGGATCGGTCGGGGCCCTTGGGGCCGTGCAGTGAACAAAGACACATCGGCGGATGTCAAGGGCGGAGGATGCGGGCGGAGGAGGGGCAGCGATGGGGGCTCGAGCATCTCTTCGCGCGGCAGCAAATCACGGGAGCCTGTTGTACCCTCTTAGCCCCGTCTTTAGCGTCGACTCGCGTCGGTGGGCGTCTGGGGGTCGACGAGGCAGCGCCGATTTAGCGGCGGTCAGCGTCGAGGAGCGTCGATGCGTCGATTCAGCGTCGATTAGCGTCAACTCGCAAGAGCGGGCAAGATGGTATGGGAGGCTTCCTCGAGTTGCCACCGCAGGGTCGAGGTCTGAGGCTCGCTTTCTGGGCGCCCGTGGCCGTACTGGGGCGCCCGAGGCCCTGGGCTCCGAAAGTCTGGCCAGAGTGCACCGCAGGGGAGGGCCAGGCCGACATCTGACCCCGATCGTGGGGGGGCACGCTGCGCGAGGAGGAGCAGGAAGCCCGAGGCCTCTTGAACCGTCTGGGGGCCATCTGGAGCGTCTTGGAGCGACCGTGCGGCGCCTCGGGGCCCTCTTGGACTTGGCCCGTCTTTGAGCACTCTTGTGCCCGAAACGGTCACCCCCGAGAAGACGCGGGAAGTCCCAGGAGGTTTGTGAGTTTGGCCTCCATGCCCCTTAAATACTTCGCAGCAGTGCTTGCGTGATTAGGCGAAGGACCTGAGGTCACGCCCAATGCGTGCCCAGCGGCACTGTGGTGGAGATATATCTACAGATGTATATATGTGTAGCTTTAGGTGAGTATATATATATATATATATATATATATATATATATATATATATATATATATATATATATATGTATCCGTAAGGGCATCGCCCCCTGCCGCCGGCCCCCTCTCTCGGAGAATGGGCCATGGAAGAGCAGGTTTTGGACCCTGACCCCGCGGATCTGCGTGAGGGGTGGCACCGAATTTCAGAAATGTGGCAAATCCCCTTTGTTTTTGGACCCTGACCCCGCGGATCTGCGTGAGGGGTGGCACCGAATTTCAGAAATGTGGCAAATCCCTGTGTTTTTGGACCCTGACCCCGCGGATCTGCGTGAGGGGTGGCACCGAATTTCAGAAATGTGGCAAATCCCCTGTGTTTTTGGACCCTGACCCCGCGGATCTGCGTGAGGGGTGGCACCGAATTTCAGAAATGTGGCAAATCCCTGTGTTTTTGGACCCTGACCCCGCGGATCTGCGTGAGGGGTGGCACCGAATTTCAGAAATGTGGCAAATCCCATGTGTTTTTGGACCCTGACCCCGCGGATCTGCGTGAGGGGTGTCGATTTTGAGCCCCCCCAGCAATTCAGACAACGCGCCCAGGTGGTGCTAAAAATCTGGTTTGGGCCTCCCTCCCCTCGCGCGGTCAATCAACTAGTTACAGTAACCAGCAAGAAGCAGAACTGTAACACTGGAAACTACAAACTACAACTGGTACTGGAAACTGCGAATCACGGGCCTACAGCCTGGTGGCCCCACAAGGGGGCCGGCGGATATATATATATATATATATATATATATATATATATATGTGTGTATGTATGTATATATATATGCACATATGTGTGCACCTACATTTATCTAACGTGTGGTTACATAGATGTG